TAGAACAGAACTTGTGGGCTACTTAAGCAGCCCACTATAAGAAGGACACAGAATAGAGCAGAAGTGGAAACACGGCTGAGTGCTGCAAAGCGAACAGGGCAAATGGGGACCTCTATTTGGGAGTACAGTAGTTCTCCATTGGGGAGATGGCTACAGTGGTAGGACAGATACCTGAGGATGGAACTGGCTGTTTGGACGGAAAGGAAAAGGCAAAACCAGGCTTCCTAGGCCAAGCATGAGGAAACAAATGTCAATTCAGTTCCACAAGTTCTGATTAAGTATCTACCATAGGCACAGTGTCTGCCAAGTTCTGTGCACAACGCAAAATAAATGCAAATATGGTCCTATTTTTAAAGTCAAGACACACACTCATAAGGTGATCAAGTAACAATGCATAACAGTATAAAATCAAGTGTCAAAACATATAGTGAAGGTCATAAATGCCAGGAGGGAACCTAAACAAAGGGAAAAGGTAATGAAAGCTAGAACAGGTGGGGAAGGCTTCTGGCAAGAGGTAGAAATTCATCTAGATCTCAAAAAAATTGGAAAGATTTGATTAACAGGAAGAGTAAGAATGTTGTGAGCTTGAGAAAGGAAGGGAATTAGGCAAGCTGGTAATTTGATAAGGAATCATTGACAAAGCAAGTTTATACTGTACAAAGCTTCAACTTCCAAAAGGTGTTTGATCTCTATCTTTTATTTCCAAAGTTTTTATTTGAGGAAGTGAGGTGAGGAAACTGATATTTCTAGAGATTTCCCCAGTTGAATGAGGAATGGGTGAGAATGAAGAAGAACATTTAGACAGCTACTATAATGGTCCATGCATGAGATACCAGTAGATATGATAGGATAGACAGAACAGGAAGATTCAAGAACAATTTCCTTCCTTGAAAGAAGTAACAACAGGACTAGGTGACTAAAATAAGAAATAAGAACCAAAGAGGAGTCTGAGGTTCAAGATGTTTGGATGACCAGAATCACCGAAGTTTAGACCTGCAAGGGCTCCAGCTTGGAGTCCCTCTTGAGTAAACTGGTTGCTTAAAATCTCAGAAGTAGTTCTCAGCAGAACTAGCAGCAGAATGCCCAGTGCTGTTATGAGATTTACCAAGCAGTATATGCCTAAGCCTTAATTACATATAAATCAATTTCAGAACAACTAATGATGAGAGCAACCAGATCAGAATGTATTGTCATATAACCACAAGACTAAAAAGTCATGAAGCCACATGAATAGTTCATGTGTAAAATCAAATATTCTATGATCTCTGCTATAAACAGAAACTTGCTTAGGAACTTCTTTTTTTTTTTTTTTTTTTTTTTAATTTTTTTTTTCAACATTTATTTATTTTTGGGACAGAGAGAGACCGAGCATGAATGGGGGAGGGGCAGAGAGAGAGGGAGACACAGAATCGGAAGCAGGCTCCAGGCTCTGAGCCATCAGCCCAGAGCCTGACGCAGGGCTCGAACTCACGGGCCGCGAGATCGTGACCTGGCTGAAGTCGGACGCTTAACCGACTGTGCCACCCAGGCGCCCCGAGGAACTTCTTATGGTTATAACTTCTCCTGGTCACATTTACCATAATGACTTATCCTTTCTCTGCCTGCTCTTGCACTTACTGGTCACCTTAACATTTAGCTTTGTGTGTATCATTCCCTTTATTAAGAGTGTAGCTTCTTCTGATGGGGACTTACACTTCATTTGCCCTTAGCCTAAATTACAGTGTTATTAAACTCTGGTGGTCTACTGGTGAATAACTGATTGCTGAAGAAATTAATAAATTTTATCAATTATGATTTTAGGATTAAGGAACCTGTTAAATAATATGAAAAACATGTTCCCCAGAAAGGCTACAGTGTTTAATGGAATGAGAACTGATCAAAGCATCAAGAATATGATTCTTCAGTAGTTATAGGAAGGCCACTCATAATTCCACTGGTCTCTTGAGCCATCATACAAAGGCTGCAATGCTTAAAACAATAAAAACTGCAACTTTATCACGGATTTTCTTTTACACATGGTGAACTCCAGGTCTACTAGCAGGACCTCTGTTTGTTGAAAGAATATACAAAATTACAGATACACCATTCCATTTTTCTTTTGCGTGACAAAAAACTCAATCGTGTACCTTCCTAATGAAACTCTCTCACTTGCCTCAATGCACTTCTACTAATGCTTTCATACAATTAAAACATATGCTTTACTAGTCCCAGGTCTAGAACCTTTATAACTCTGAATAGGTCTTAGTCTTTCTACATTTTAATGTTTATGTTTTGGAAGTAGGTATATGGAAAAACAAACTTTCTTCAAAATAATTTAGAAATAACAATTTTCTAAACTATGATTTATCTAGAATTTGACCCTGAAAAGGATAATCATAATTTTTTTTAACCCCTATCCTTAGACAACCTTGTGGAGCAGAACCACTAGACCTATTGCTTTCCATCCTATGGATTAGTCATGGATTTAAAAAAAAATTAAAATTAAAAATAACATCAGTTTGATGAATTAATGCTAAGCAAATAAAATGTTGGCCCACCTCCTCTACCACCTTTTTTGATGCTAAAGGGATGAACAGTAAAAATACTCCTCTCTATTGGACATAATTTGGGGGTACAGTCTGAGGAAGTGGGAAATAGGCCCAAGTGTGGAATGATCTGGGTGTTTCTGCTCTTCTGGAAATGAATGTCAGACACAGGAAGGAGGTGGGGAGCAGAGAGGTCTACTGGGATAAGATATCAGGAATAGAAAAGGAACCCCATCTCCTCCCATAACTCCCTCCTATGTTTGTGAGTTTTTAAAAATCATGGATCTAGAGAGTAAAAACATATTATAAAATATATCAAGACATCAACAAGTCAGTTTATTGGCAGCATATTGAAGAGGTATGGTGGAAGACCCTCTAAAGAGGAATAAATTTCCATTAAGAAATATCTTAAAAATAAATTATATTACTCTCAAGTCATTATAAATACAGGTGGTGATTTCACTGAAACTTTATGTTTCAATGAATCATGTTACCAATTAGCCTTTTTTTTTTAGTTTGAAATAATTGAAAACTCAAAAAGTTGCAAAAATAGCAGAGTTCCATGTATCATTGATCCAAACTTCCAAAACACTATCTTACATAACCATAGTAGATTATCAGAACCAGAAAAACAGCGTACCATTAAATAGTTTTTAAAGATTTCAAAGTTTATTAATATTATTTTTAAATGACTTCTGAATATTGGGTAGGGAAGTTTCCCTGGAAGCAGACTAGTCAGAAAGGTCAAGGAGGGGTGCCTGGGTGGCTCCTCAGTTAAGCTTCTGACTTTGGCTCAAGTCACATGATTCGTGAGTTCAAGCCCCATATCAGGCTTGCTGCTATCAGCATGGAACCCACTCTGGATTGTCCCCTTTTTATCTGCTCCTCTCCAGCTATCTCTCTCTCAAAAATAAACAAACACTAAAAAAAAAAAAAAAAAAAAAAAAAAAAAAAAAGTTAAAATCAGAGAGTTTAAGTGCTTTAGCCAGAACCTGAATTACACTCCATTGGAGTAGTATTTCTTAGCCCTGGCTGAACATTGGAGGATAGGCAAAATCCACACACTGGCTGAGCCCACCCTAAATTAATTACATCAACCTCTATAAGGTTGGCAAGGCTGAAGGTAAGGCTCAAGCATCAATATGTTTTCAAAACTCAGAAGATTCTAATTCACAGCCAGGGTTCAGAACTATTCATATAAGGATTTACCAAAGAAAATCGATGTAATGCTTTTTTAAAGATGAGGTTTCTGAATATGTTTTGCTTTAATGACATCACTGACAAATACTGAAATGTATTCAAACTTCCTTTGTTCTAAAGATCCAAGTTTCAATGCACTTTTCACAATTTAACAGAGTAAGCCTTAAACCCGAGCTATGAATAGAAAGATAATGGGATTTCTCCTCTCTAGCCTAACGTATCATTGGTTCAAGTGTGGGATAAAAAGATAGTTGGAATAAACCAAGATCTACTCATTTACTCCCAACTCCAGACTCTACCTGTTCCTATCAGTATCACTGTTTTTACTTCAAACATGAGGAAATTTCAGGAATCGCTAGCTAAAATCCCAGAAGAAACACAAATGAGATTTATTTCTTCCATTCTGCCTAATTGTAGTAACCAACATGGATACATTGACCCCTGGACATAATCAAATTATCTCTGTAAAGTTCTCGCCCTATTTTTGGAAATTAGGGATTTTCCAGATTACGGGGGCCCTGTCACTGGCTCAGGCCAGAGTTTCAGAAGCTAACAGGCGAAAGCAGCCGCTCTCCTTGTCGTTACGAAGCCTTAGTCTTACTTGAATACCAGGGGGAATTACATGCTCATCGTAGAGCTTTTTCGGGGAACCAATGTAGTTCACATTAGTGTTTTCTAAAAATACTGTACGGCAGTCCTCTCCACATTCCTCGCGGATCACTTTAAATCACAAATTAGTCTGCACACATCACAGTAACCGCTCCTACCCGCCAATGAGGGCAAAGGTCGGCCCTAAACTCCTCTTGTACACGCTGACTCTGCGCCGCGCAAATGCTAAAAGTTAGAAGGGCGAGACAGAAGCAGAGAGACGCAGGTCCTTGACAAATTACCGAAATCGCGCAGAGATTATAGCAAAATTCTGCCAACTCTAACTTGGGGATAAAGCTCCCTTATTATTCTCGTGGCTAATAATATTAAAAACGCGGCGACTGAGACCTCCTGGACCACTCCGTGGCCCCAGCAGAGAGGTCATCAGGTGACAAAGGCGGCACTCCTCACTCCGGCCTCTGCTCGCGGGCGGCGCAGGCCTAGGCGAGGCCTGAAGGGACTAGTTGGCGCGCACCAGCCGGGCGTGGTGACGTCAGGGCGGAAGCGCACGCTGCGTGAAGCGGCCCAGAATCAGGCGGTCACGGGAATATCCGTCGCGCCGAGGACGCTGGTTAGTCTCGCTCTGGGTTCCGGCTGCGTTGGGCGTGCGTGCAGCTCGCTGAGACTATGGCGTCCGGGCCTCACCCGACCGCGACCGCTGCCGCCGCCGCCTCGTCGGCCGCCCCGAGTGCGGGCGGCTCTAGCTCCGGGACGACGACCACGACGACGACTACGACGGGAGGGATCCTGATCGGCGACCGCCTGTACTCGGAAGTTTCGCTCACCATCGACCACTCGCTGATTCCGGAGGAGCGGCTCTCCCCTACCCCGTCTATGCAGGACGGGCTCGACCTGCCCAGCGAGACCGACTTGCGCATCCTGGGCTGCGAGCTCATCCAAGCCGCCGGCATTCTCCTCCGGTTGCCGCAGGTCAGTGCTTCGGCCCCGGGCCGGCCCAGCGCGCTTCTCCCCGCTGTCCCTTCCGCTGCATCCCGGTACCAGTGTGTCTCGGCAGGGTGGGGATGCCTCCTCGGGCTCTCCAGCCACAGGTCCCAGCCGGATCCCGGGCGTGTCGAGGGTGGGAGGGCGCCAAGGCGAAAGGAGGACCCGGCAGCGAACAGTTCGCGGCGGGAGGGGGAGGGGGAGAGAGCGGCGGCACAAAATGGCGGCGGCGCCTGGTGCGGGCCCGCCTGACCCCTGCGCTTCCGTTCTTCTCTCTTGTCTGCAGGTGGCGATGGCAACGGGGCAGGTGTTGTTTCATCGTTTTTTCTACTCCAAGTCTTTCGTCAAACACAGTTTCGAGGTAAGCGCTGCGGGGGCGGGTGAAAAGGGATTTCTTCATCCGGAAACGAGGAGGAGGGGGTAGTGTCTCCACCCAGTTTTTCTAAAAAGGGAGTGGTTAGTTTAGGCCTTTGTACCTAGTTCTCACCCACGAGAAGTAGACTTTTGGAATGTGTTTTAAAACTATAAAGCTTCTCTTGAGCCCATGTGCTGTCATCAAAAACCACAATTTTCAATCAAATTCAATTAAGATTAGTTAAGCATTAAAAAAAAAAAGCATAGTAGCAGCGTATCTGGTATGCCTATGGGGAGTAGAAATGTGCGTCGTACTCTATTTCACCAAAAGTCCCAGTTGTGTCCTGAAATTCTCCCATCAGAATAAGTTGTTTAGACTTTGAAAGAGGCTTTCCTATTTGATAGTGTTGTAGTCTAACAATTTTTTTATTGGATTATGGGTTCTTTCAGATTGTTGCCATGGCTTGTATTAATCTTGCATCAAAAATTGAAGAAGCACCTAGAAGAATAAGAGATGTGATTAATGTATTTCACCACCTACGCCAGTTAAGAGGAAAAAGGTAAGATTGGCATTATTGAACACAGTGTTTCTTGCTGCTACTGCATTGTGCACCAATCATCAACTCAAAACATTCTTTCTTCTCAAAACTGATGCAAAGGAAAACCGGCTTTAATTTAGGTGTTAAAATTCACATAGGAGCTAACTAATACTTAAATTAATTTGAAAAAAAAACACAATTAACCAGCTATCTAAAGTTTGTAGAGGCAGTTGCATTTATGGACAATCCTAACAGTGCTGTGAAGCCAGTCCTGTGGTTTAAGATTAAACAAGAAAGGGAATACGTTTGGCTCAAGTGTGAGTGTATTCTGTAAGTTATTTTCCTCCCTCCCCTCTTGGAAGACTGAAGGTTGGAAGTGTAAACACTGCAGTTCAAGTTAATATTGTGGCAAAGTTTTGTGTAGATCATGTTTTTCTACGCGAAGTCCCAGTTAATTCTTTATCAATTGAGGTTGGCTTTTGTTAGAATACTTCTCAACATTGAACTACGATATATCGCATAATACCGGATCTGAAAGGACTGCAGGATAAAGGTTGAAGTTTGAAGTCAAAGGGATTACACAGGTATTTTGTTTTGGTCAGATACAGTATCAGTGAGTGGGGTAGAGAAATAACTATTGGGTTACATTTAGATAAGGACTGTTTTTATTTGATCTTGTAAGAAGAAAATAGAAACCAAATAGTGTCTTGGAGATTTTGTGGCTACGTGACAACACTTTGTGTGGACCTATGGGTTCATGAGAGGCAGTGCAAAAAGTTTTAGTTGCAGGCTTCCTGCATCTAGAGGTGACTTCTAGTACATCCTGCAGAAGGATACACTTGGCATAGATTAGTTCTGTGTTCACTTCTTAAGAAATTGTGGTGATGTTAGATAAACTTGTACTGAGTTTGAAAGGAAGTTAGTTTTAAAAGGATTTTAAGTTGTTGGGGTTGGGTGTCAGTGCCAAATTAGTATCCTACATGCGTGGGCTTTATTGGCTGAATCGATAAGTTGTCAGTAATGGAACTATCCAGAGACATAGTAAAGTAACCTTTAGTTAGAAAGTCTGAGCCATTGCTATCCAGATAGTTTCCACAGCATTTTTTCAGTTTTCTTACGTTCTTTTTTCCTCCATCTTTTCTCATTTACCCTAACCACGTCCAGGGACAGACTAATATTTTATTTTAAACTATCCTTTAGCTGGTGAGGAATCCCTGGAAATTGGGAAGATTTCAAATTGGTATTTAGTGTGGTCTGAGCTAAAATTTGTTTTTAGATATTTAGTGGACTCTCCAGGGTGTTTAAAACAAATTGACAGTAATTAAAAGGCTTTTAATCCGAGGATTCAGTGTTTGCCTAAAGGAGTTTTCGGTCGTATTTTTTGAACCATTGAGCCAACTGTTGTATTGTAACTTAACAATGATTATCTACTTTGAACTTTTTCTATGAGACTTAGAGTATTCTTCCTTGAGATCAGAGTAGGTCTTCTTAACTATACAAACTTTGGAATTTAAAACATCTCACCTGACTGTTGCGCCTGATGTAATAGTGTGTTTTTGGTCATTATTACAGAGAAATTGACTTTGTCTCAATCTTACAAGTCTGATTATAGCATGAAATTTAAAAGGAGTTGTTAATTGCATGGAAGCCTTTTTTTTAAAGCAGGATGTAAAAGTGTTTCTATGCATATTACAAGTTTACTCAGACACGTAACTTGTATATGTTATTAACTTCAACTCTTTTTTCCCTTGCAACCGACTATACAGCGACCAGCTACATTTACCAAAGCCTGGGTGATGTGGAGTGGTACATAGAGATGAAGCTGTCGTCATGGCAACAGTGAGTGAAGTATCGAAAATCCCCAAGGAGAAGCCAGTGCTCTGAGAATAGGTCACTGGAATCGGGGACTAACAGGTTGGCCACTGGTGAACCATTTAGAAAAACTCCTGTTTCTTGTTATAAGCTTTTGTCTTTGCTGTCCAAGTTATTAGAAACTACAGCTTGGTGTGTTTTTATCTAGAGTAGTGCCATTAGAAAGTATTGTTGGTATTCCATTTTAGTTAGATAAATAGTATATCAGTTTAATGATGCTGTTTTAATCTGGTTTATGCATAGCTTTAAGTTGTAGTCTGATCTTGGTAATGACAGAGGATGCATCATTTTTGTAGCCTTTAGGTCATTGTTTTTCAGTCCTGGTTACACATAAGAATCACCAGAGGAACTTTTAGAAAGTATCAATGCCCAAATCCTGTCCTGGATTATTTCTCCCTCCCCCCTTCAATTTTTCTGTAGTTTCATAATTGCCTTCTAAGGTCAGAATAAATGGCTGAATTGAAAGAGAAAATTGCTTTTTCATTTCATTAGTTTCCGATTTTAATTTGTTTTTGAGATGCAGCATATTTCCAGACAATTAAGCATTTTCTGTAATTTTAAGGAGCCCACATGTATACCTGAATGCTTGCCTAAAGACAAATATTCAGACTGATGCAACCATTCATTGGTGAATATGGTGTGGTATTTTCAGCAGGTATATAGATCATAGACAAGAACTGGAAGTCTTAAGTGGTCTTGTCATTTAGTCCAACCTCCCTCAGTTTATTTCGGTGGTTGTAAAGGTAGTGGCCTTCAATTGGCTTAAACACTGCTAGAGGAGGAATATTCCCTTGGAGTAGGCGTTACAACTTTCTGTATATTGAACAACAATCTGGCTCCTCATAAACGAAATCTCATTTTAGTGTAGTCTCTCGAAGAACTAAGTCCAAATTTTCTAGGTTCTTGTACCACACAAGTGAGACTAACCATGTTTGGATATCCTGTTTGAATTTTTTTCTTTTTTTTTGTTGTCGTATTTCAACTAAATCATGCTAAAGGAAAAATTGTTATTCTAAGAGACGAAATAAACTTCCAGTGACCAAAGCCCAAGATTTCCTATTAAGACTAAAATTTGAAAATTGTTCTTTTCATGTAAATTTAATATTAAAAATCTGATAAAAAAGCAGGGGAGGTAGAGTTTAGTTTGTTGATGATGAAAATTATTTTTTCTCTGAATAGGTAATTTTTTTTTTTTAAGAGATTTAGAATATCACCTCCTGAAACTTACTGGAAAGGAAAGTTTACTTAATTGAAGATGAAGAAATTCTAGCAAGCTTCAATTCAACTTTATGTGCTTGCTGCCATAGACAGTACTAATTGATAAATTGTTACTGTAAGTAAGGAAACCACCTGCTTAGACAGTTTCCTTTAATCTTTTCTTGCTGACTTATGGAAACATTTTTCTATTTCTGATACAAATTCTGATACAAAATAATCCTTTTATGGTAGTTGTAAATTACATGCTCATTGAGCCTTTCTTGATTTAAAACCAGTTTTTAACAAAACGAAAGTGTCAGATTATATATCTACAAAGTTACCTTCCAAAACCACTAGTAGAAGGCCTAAGCAAGAATTTGAGTATATAGTTGAATTACACTAAATAATGGGTTTGGTTTCCTTAATTGGTTTTGGTGTTGGGACTTTGACATACATAAAAAGGAAAGTAAAGATTGTGGCAGAATAGATGGAAAGTAACAATTCATTTAATTCAATTAATGAATAAGCCTGATTTGGGGATCAGATAATAGCCATTATTGAGACAAGTGTGTAGTTGGTTAATTGCAGGAAAAGTGAGTTTTAACACAATTTGAAGGCAGCTGTTAAAGCAAGCTTAGTAAGAGGTATAGATTAGTTTGATCAACAAAATGGGGGGAAATGAGACAAAACTACTTTTATAAATTTATTTTTAGGATTTTAATGGTGCAGTTTACAGTCTGAATTGCAGGGAGTAAAGAGTTAGTGGCAGGCCACTATAAAACTGGGGATATTCTACGTCCTGATACGTTGAAGGAGGGCCATCAGATAACTGGTTATGAGAGTCGGAGGTGTGGATTTGACTTTTTTCCAAACTTCTTGTAATAATGATAAAACCTGAAAAATTACAAACCTTAAGATTTTGGGGTTATATTTTCATGTGTACTTTGATTGCTCTGAAGTTAATTTTTTCCCCAAAGAGTATTTAACTTGTAGCCTATTGTCCTGATAAAGCAGATTCATTGTTATATTTTTATATTAGAAGTCTGTCCCCTGTCCAGTTGGTGGCCTCATTCCTCACACTTCTCATAACTATAATAGGAATCAAACGGAGTGAAGGCCATTTTCAGCATTGTTAATTTAAGTAAGCTAGTTTCCATCTTGTCAGATTTGCCAACTTTTTTGTTTAGTGTATTTTGATAAAAATCATACACTATCAAATAATTTGAAATAGTCTTTAATAAGCATTCTTGTTGCTGTAATTTTAGATGGGACGAAGGAAGGAAACTGAAAAGATGTTTAGATAATATGTCACTGCAGGGTAGTTAATGTAGCTCATTTCAGATTGTTTTCTAATATTCAAGTGGGTGTATTTAAAATACAATCTTACATATTTCTGGATTTGGCGTACATGATAAAATGAGTTGTGAGTGGTAATATTCAGAATGACCTTTTTTTAAAACCAGATGTGTTCTGCCAGAGCAAAAACTCTTGAATCTTTTAGCTGAAATGAATTCAATATGGGGAAACATTTTTTTTAAATGTTCTCTCCCTATATATACACCATATAATCACGTCTTAATGAAAATGTATTTCTTATTGGCTCTAAAAACGTCAAACGAAGGACAATGGGAAATGAAAGTCCACAAGTTCTCCATAAGAAACCAGTTTCGAATTTAAGACTTAAATCAGATAGTCTTTTAATTGAAAATGCTATTTCCTAAGCATTGAACCACTGAGACACAGCTTTCTGCATTATAACCTTTGAAGCTATCAAAATTTAGTCTGGCACAGAGACCTTGAGTGTTCTGATTCCCTCATCATGGTCTTCCCTTCTCTTTTAAATTGCATTCTAAAGAGTATTGCCTGGTAACTACAACTCAGACCAAATTTAAGCCTGTTTTTTATTGATCGCTTCTAGTTTTGAATCTTTTATTTATGTAATTGAGCTGAAATTTTAGTTTTCATATTTTCTTTAACAGAGATGGATTCTTAGAATAAATTTGTTTAGGCAAATTGTCCATTTAGGGGAATCTGAATTAGCTACCTACCATTTTTTTCCCCACTTTATACTTTGGCCATAAATTAGCCAAGAGTTGACAGTTTAGAAAATGAATTAAATCATTATAATCTTATGAAGTCTTTATAGTAAATATTTTCAATAACACATTAGTTTTGTCACTGGAAAAAATCTGTGGAGACTAATGAGGTTTGTGATGATAAATCAACCATTTAACTCTATTATACATATACACCTAAAAGATAATCGTGAAAAAAACAACAAAGGGATACATGTAAGTATTAGAATGAATTTTTCACTACAGGGTTGAGTTAGTTCCTATAGAAACCTAGTTTAGAAAGTGTATGTTTAATTAGCATAACTTGGACAGCACAAGATTAATGCTTTAACTTGTTTGCAGGAGTTTAAAAAGCTGGTTTCTGTTGCCAATAGTTGGTTGGAAGGGAAAATGGAGATGCCACAAATACAATTTTTTGGATGTGCAAAACAGTTTTGATTTTATTTCTTACAAACTATAGGACTCCAAGCCCCCTGATCCTTGATCAGAACTACATTAACACCAAAAATCAAGTTATCAAGGCAGAGAGAAGGGTGCTAAAGGAGTTGGGATTTTGTGTTCATGTCAAGCATCCCCATAAGGTGAGTTGTAGAGTGCAGAGATTACACTCGTAAGTATTAGGGTCTTTCTAAAACTGCATCTTACATGAATTTATATTATGGTTATTTTTGAGAGTTAACCTTGGTTTTTAAAAAGCATCCTTCAGGTTATTGAAATTTATCAGAAAGTAGGAGTCAAAAAGACTTGGGTTCAGATCTCCACCCTTCATCGTGTGGGCATAGATAAGTTGTTTTTGCCTCTGTGGTTAACCCAGTTTCCCTAGCCAGAAAACAGATTGTGAAATAACCTTATTCCAAAGAGGAAATAATATACATGTGCAAAAGTACCTGGAATGCTGTCACACAGTAAAATGTTCAAAGCATAGTGGCTGCTCGCTGTCTGAATATTTATTTCTTCAGTATCTCTTAGCTTACATATGATCATCATAATAGCCCATTGGTTACCATATGGGTGCTCTGGGGATAGGACTTTCTGTGAGAGAAGTTTGTCTTTGCCATTAGCTCTTGGACTTTGGCAAATATCCCTGTTCCTCGGATGCTACATCTTCAAGATTGTAAAATTAGAATGATTGATAATAAAGGTCCAGGAAGATTTGACCTGAACTGTAGTGAAACTGTTGATAATGTAGTTTTTATTTATCACACTTTAGTGTAATAAGCTTCACTGTAGAAATACTGTTTGATTACTTAATTGTAATATCCACTGTATTACATAATATGATCATATGCATTGTGTAGCATTAAAAACATACAGTCTGTAGGATTTTTGGACATGTAGAATTGTACCCTGGGAAATTAAGTGAAATAACCTCATACCATAGTGCCTGTCACATAGTAAGGTGTTCATGGAGAAATTAGGTATTTTTTTTTTTAATTGATTTCGCTCATTTTTCCTGTGCAATTTTGGATCATACTTCTAATTTTTATGGAATCTAGTGGCATAAATAACCCACACCGACTGCCTATGTGTTATAGGTTGGTCTGTATTATCTATGCAGTTGTAGAAGAGATAAAACTTGCACCTAACATTTCAATTACTTATATTCATTGAACTCTGTATTCTGAAAGAACCACTGATTTGCTAAATTCAGTTTTTTTCCCTTGTCCTTCAGATCATTGTTATGTATTTACAAGTCTTAGAATGTGAACGTAATCAAACCCTGGTTCAAACTGCCTGGTAAGTTGCTTTTTTACATTTCTTTCCTAGCCAGGAAAACAGAAGCAGAAATAAAGTAAGTTTCATTTTCCCTTTCCAAAATAATGAGAGGAGTTTGTTTTGGTGCTTTTTGTTTTTTTTGTTTTTTAACCAAAAGGTAAATAATGCTTATTTCTGCTTCCTGTTTTCTTGGCTTGACTAATTGCTTTCAATGGAGAACTCAATTTAACTTTGTTCTTTTTTCTACTCTTTAATTAAAGGGTAGTCCATGATGGTAAGTCATAGAACTCTGCCCTCTGCACTTCAGCCCATGACCTCAGGATGGCCTGATTGGCTGCCCTGCTCTCCAGCCAATCCAGTGCAAGCTCTCATCCGAGATTCACTGAAGTGGTCCATATCCATCTGGCAGCATCTTCTAGTTCTGTCGGGGTGTCAAAAGGATTTGTATATTTGCTTCTAGAAGTAACTATTCAACATGCCTGTGTATATAATGTATACCTGTAACTATCAAAATGAATAGTTCATTTTTGATAGATTTGTTGTCCAGCCATTATGAATTAAATGATTTTTTTTTGTTAGGTGTTTGACGTAGATTTCTGTTTTTAGTATGTATAGCATGGTGTCTACCAAAGGGGAAAGTACAACTTGCAGCTTAAAATGGGCACCATTCCCATTCTGGATGAATTATAGCTGCTGGACTGTTGAGGCAATACTAAAAGAATTACATTTTTAAAAGAGATGTTAATATTGCCATAAGTACTGTAGAACTTGGACTTTTGACATGAAGATGTTTGACTTGGAGGGCTAGTTTATTTTAAGGTGAAACAAGGAATTTGGTCCAGCTACAGCTACTTTCTCAAGACTGTTGATGATGTGCAGGACTTAAGTAATTTTCATGTTTTGGACTTAATGACTGCCATGCTTCTTTAGGACTCAGTAAATATCAGTAATATTAGATAAGTCTAATTGCTTTTATAAAATGCATGACATTTTTAATATATGCTCTATAGAACATTTAAGCAGTTTTCATGGATAAGGATTTTTAAGAAGTAGTCTAACCTTTTAAAATAGTTTAACCTTTTAAACAATTTGTGAAATTTCTTTAATACTTTAGGGATATTGTGGGGAGGGTTCACTAATAAAAAAGTCCAGCACTTTATTAACTGAAGTAGTTTATTGCTTTTGTTTGTACTTAAGTCACAAAAAAGGTATGTAAACAAGGCTATTCTGTATATTTACTGCTCTTCACTTCCCTACCTAGATTTTCTGAAGTAGCTTAGTTTTCTTAATACAATTTGGTGAGTGCTTACTGAAAATGCCTTTTTACCCCTGTTACAGTATTTTGAGTTTTTGAAAGAACTTGGTTGACACTGCTTTTCATTGTGGATAAAGGAGAGATGGTCAATAATTAATGGCTTGAAGTACTGTTGGAGTGGTTTATCATTTCTGAAATTAGATATGTGAAAATTGACTTTCAAAGCATTGCTTTTCATAGAAATACAAACTACAGAAGTACTATTTGGGATGATATGGAATTATTTTAAAGGACTTTAGTCACATCTAGGAAAGCTGAAGAATGGTTCCAGTGTTAAATTCTTATCTCTTACTGATTTTTGAGTTGAGTTGTTGTATGCTAGAATATGAGGATATGAATATAAATAAGAGAAGAAAAAAGAATAAAGTAGATTGAGTCTCCAATTTTATGTAAGCCTTGGAAGGACTGGTTTGTTTATGTACAAAGCTTATGGTTGAAATATTTTTCAGGAATTATATGAATGACAGTCTTCGAACCAATGTATTTGTTCGGTTCCAACCAGAGACTATAGCATGTGCTTGCATCTACCTTGCAGCTAGAGCTCTTCAGGTAGGTATATATAGCCTGTAGTCTGCTATAGGATACATCACAAGAGTTAGCAGTTCTAATAAAACCTGAAATTTGTCCTAAACCATCCTGTTTTTATGGTTTAGATTCCATTACCAACTCGTCCCCATTGGTTTCTTCTTTTTGGTACTACAGAAGAGGAAATCCAGGAAATTTGCATAGAAACGCTTAGGCTTTATACCAGAAAAAAGGTAGCTATTTACTTGTGTTTGTGTTAATACTTTTAAGTGTTAAGAGTCTAAACTAGTATAAGGGAGAACTACTAACTTCATTTTCTTCCACCAGCCAAACTATGAATTGTTGGAAAAAGAAGTAGAGAAAAGAAAAGTAGCCTTACAAGAAGCCAAATTAAAAGCAAAGGGATTAAATCCCGATGGAACTCCAGCCCTTTCAACCCTTGGTGGATTTTCCCCAGCCTCCAAACCATGTAAGATATATTCAGAATTGAAATGATTTGGGCACTGAAGATGTGCAGTTATTAGAAAGCTTTAGCGTATAACAGTGGCATAGAAACAATGATGTTAGCAAGCAAGAAGCTGTTACCGTTTTCTCTTATGATAGACAAATACTTGAAAGCATGGTGCTCTTGAGTTTCATTTAGAAACAACTTTTTGGCCCTCTATTAAATCCAATAGATAACATGTCTTTGTGTTGTTTTTAAGCATCACCAAGAGAAGTGAAAGCTGAAGAGAAGTCACCAATCTCTGTTAATGTGAAGACAGTCAAGAAAGAACCTGAGGACAGACAACAGGCTTCCAAAAGCCCTTATAATGGGTGAGAGTATATTTGACTTAGAAAACTAGTCTAAGGACTCTTTTATGTGTTTAATTTCTAACACACTGAACATGTATCTGAAATAATGGTGTGGGGTTTTTTTTTTGTTTGTTTTTTAAGTGTAAGAAAAGACAGCAAGAGAAGTAGAAACAGCAGGAGTGCAAGTCGATCAAGGTCAAGAACACGATCACGTTCTAGATCACATACTCCAAGAAGACAGTAAGTAAATATTCTCATAGAGAAAGCAGTCTTATTTGGAGTAATGTTGCTGAGTTTTAAGAAAATTGAACATAGTTGGATGTTTTCACAGTTAGGCTAGATTTAGTCTTTTTAACATGAGCTAAATTATGAGAAGTGAGTTTGGAAATTTGCCCTGCCTATACGTGGCTTTTTCGTTTTGTGGTAGTGTAACTTAAGAACATTCTGTTCTGGTTTTGCCCATTTTTTGAAGAAGTGTAGGGGCTGGCCACAAAGTGCTATGGAAGGCTATAATATCCTGTCTATAATGTGAAAACAGTCTTTTTGTTTAATTCGAGAATATTAATATTTTATTAATTGTTAATTAACCAGGAATCAAATTGACCAGAGTCAAAGAATCTTCCCTGGCTTTGTAATTAAAATGCTAGCTGCTTGTGTCTGTTCAATGGCTCTTTTGAACATGTGTGAGATACTCAATAAAAAGCATAGCTATCTAGGACACTTTGTAAAAATTACTAATTTTCTCTTTGGAATGTAGACATGTGGTACATTTAAGATTTGTGTAATACAGGCTAGCGGGAGCTGGTGAGAGGTGGGTAAATTTAGTGAAAGTTTTCTGTCTGGCCTGTACTGCTACAGGTCAATATTGTTTTTTGAACCTGTTAAAAGCACCACCAAAATAATCTGTTCCCAGCAGAAACTGAATCTAAACCTCAAATTTTTATTGTCTAAGTTATAATAATAGGCGGAGCCGATCTGGAACATACAGCTCAAGATCAAGAAGCAGGTCCCGCAGCCACAGTGAAAGTCCAAGACGACATCATAATCATGGTTCTCCTCACCTTAAGGCCAAGCATACAAGAGAGGATTTAAAAAGTTCAAATAGACATGGTCATAAAAGGAAAAAGTCTCGTTCTCGATCTCAGAGCAAGTCTCGGGATCACTCAGATGCTGCCAAGAAACACAGGCATGAAAGGGGACATCATAGGGACAGGCGTGAAAGATCTCGCTCCTTTGAGAGGTCCCATAAAGGCAAGCACCATGGTGGCAGTCGCTCAGGACATGGCAGGCACAGGCGCTGACTTTCTTCCTTTGAGCCTGCATCAGTTCCTGGTTTTGCCTATTTACAGTGTGATGTATGGACTCATAAAACATTAAAAGGAAATTGATTAGGATTTGATTTCTTAAAGCCCTCTAGGTCTCTAGAAACACTGAGGACATTTTCTTTTGGAAAGAAACTATGTTTTTTTTTTTTTGTTTTGGGGTTTTTTGTTTTTAAGTTTTTGTGGGTGTCTTTTTTGTTTGGGGTTTTTTTTTTTTGGTTGTTTTTAGGGTTTTTGTTTTGTTTTTTTGTTTTGTGTTTTGTTTTGTTTTTTTTTTTTTTTTGCACATTAAAATGCCCTAGCAGTATCTAATTGAAAACCATGGTCAGGTTCAATTGTACTTATAGTTGTGTATTGTTTATTGCTATAAGAACTGGAGGTGAGTTCTGTAAAAATGTATCTTATTTTTATACAGATAAAAATTGCAGACACTGTTCTATTTAAGTGGTTATTTGTTTAAATGATGGTGAATACTTTCTTAACACTGGTTTGTCTGCATGTGTAAAGATTTTTACAAGGAAATAAAATACAAATCTTGTTTTTCTAAACTGCTTCAAATATCTTATTTAAATAAATTATTAAACAGAGAAAAATTTTAATAGTAAACTGCCTGTACTGATTTTCTGACAAAACCTTTTCTCCATCAGCTATATATATAGTTCAAGATTCTTAAATGCAGTTCTTACCTGCATTGAGAGCTATTCTAAAAGTCTTTGCCTTTATATTTGGAAAAAAACCAATGGGAGTTGTGCAACAATGTAATATTAAATGTTATATTGTAGCATTAAACCAGTCTTCAAGTTGAAACCTATTTGCACATATATAGTACTTAAAATTTGCTTTAAGCTTCTGGTACCATTTAAGTGAGCTGTCCTCTAGAACAAAGTCAAAACTTTTAACATAATGGTATATCAGACCCAACTGTTAAACATTAAAGGTTTTCTTTAATTTAGACAGTGAAGATTTTATCTAGGCTAGGAGGATTGAATAATAAAATGAGGCCCCCCGGACTTGGCTAGCTGAAAGAAGTAAAATCTGACCATAAAGTAAATCAAGTTTTGTTGAAAAAGTCAGAAGTCCTATATCCAAATGAATACATTTTTAATATGCATATTGACAGTTATTTTACCAATAATTTGGAAGTGAATTTAGAAGGCCATATAGGATTTCATTATTTTATAGTTATATTAAGTTTTCCATTAATTTTTTTAACACTTGATTACGTGGCCACTAGACCTGGGTCTAAATAATTTTTTTTGTTTCAAAAAATCAAATATACCCACAAAGATATGAAGATTTACTGCCACTAAGGATGTTTTAAAAAAAAAAAAAACAGCTTCTCAAGATGATTCCAAAGACAAACATTCACCACTGGTGAGCAACAGGGCTGAAAAAAGTAGAAAGCCAAACAAGGCAACTACACTGCAAAAGAGAAGACTCATTTGGATTTTAAAATGTTGGGTGTGCTACTTAAATCAGATATATTTGTAAGAACTAATGAGCGTTCTTTCTATATTTGATTTTGTAATACATACTGCTGAGCTAAACAACTTACAAGCCTAAACTACATCCAAACAGGAAACCCATTTATTTTCTTTACAAGACATGCACTGAAGAAAGGCAGAGACAAAAGTCCGTAAAGGCCCTGTTTAAAAAATTAATCTTGAATTTTTACAAGTTTTTAAATTTTTACCTACCTTACCCTTGTTTGGAAAGACCACCACGGGTGAGGTTTGTGAAGATGGAAGATGCAGAGAACACCTGCATGTGGGCTGAGGGCTGTATGTTAGAGGTGGCTTTGTGAGGGTGTCTGTTTCCATGCATCCTAATTTTTGCTTTGTGCTACTACTAAGACAGTTTTCTGGGTTTCTGTCAAGAAGTTGACCACTTTATGCTGCTCTGCCTGAATTTAAAAACTTTTTTTTTTAATGTACCAATTTTTGAACTTTTATTAAGGGAAAATTCAAATAGATGTAGTAAAATACCTATCTCTCAGCTCCAGAAATAATGATCAATTCATGGCCAGCCTATCTTGTTCATACCTACCAATTCACCATTCTATTTCCCACCCTTATTATTTGTAAGAAAATACCAGACAACTGATTTCATCCTCAACCATTTCAGACTAAAAAAGGTAAGGACTTGAACACCACCAAAATACTTTTTATATACTTAAAAAATTAACAATGCCTTTGTTTACCCAGTCAGTATCCAGATTTTCCTTACTATCTCTAAGGATTTGTTTTTATAACTGGGATATTCATGCAAGGTTCATCTATTTTATGTTTTAATCACAGACTCCCATCCTTTTCCCCTTGCAATTTAAAAAAATTGGGTCATTTGTCTTAAGGAAATTTTCATATTCTGGGTTTGCTCATTGTAACCCTCTGAAATCACTGGATGTATTTTTCTGTCTCCTGTACTGTAAACCTTGTAGATTTCAACACTTGGCCAGATTCAGATTTGATAACTTTTTTTTTTTTTTTTTACATAGTGTGAAATTTGGAAGTCTGGGGACCCAGATTATGTGCTATTCTAAACCGTTACTAGACTGCTGCCTCATCCACTAGGTATTTCTTTCAGTTGCCAATTCTTAATCCATTAGTGCTTGTACCTTTGACAGCTTTTTGTATTTCCTGTGTATACGTTCTCTCATTATCTTGTTTTTCCCACTACAGCCCTAAGTCTTAATGCAGACAAGTTGTTAACTTTTTCCTAATGATGCTGATTCTTAATACAAGTCCTTTCATGTTATGGAATGTTAATGTTTGTCCTTTATGACTGTATCTTAATCCTAAAGGAAGACCAGTGAAATTCTTCATCACCTTTCCATTCTGAAATAGTGATCATCAAAAAGATTACCTTTTAACTGCCGTTCTAACTTTGCTTTATAGTTTTAAATATTGTCAGTGTTACCATCAGTTATTAACGGCATTATTAATGCCCATAACCTGCATCCAAAGCCATATTTAAAAACTTAAAGGTAGCTCATGAAAGTTTCCAAAAACAAGATAATTTCATAATATTCAACGGTACTAAGAGCCATTTCTTAACATGGGCTGTAACAGATAACTGTGAAGTTCTTTTTTCTTAAAGACCAGAGTTTTCCAAGATTCATGTTAAAATCACAGGCATACTGGGAGCCTAGTTTAACTAGAGAGTGTTCATGGGGTTTGATAAGGAAAACTCCCTTCCCCCACGGGGAAAACTGGAAGGGGAGCAGTATTCATTGTATGGGCCCTGATCCCCTCATGTTCCCTAGAGTAGCTCTGTGTGGCTGACTTTGTAGCCATTGTCCGTTTCTCGAATGAAAGAAACATGGACTTGTAGGTCATGTCTGAATTCAAGATATTCCTCTACCAAGGGGATTTGGCAAGTTATTTGGCCCTTGCCCTTACCTCACAGCATTTTGTTAACGTGTGTTAAGCGAGTTCTATTTTTAGCTCTGCAATTCAAAATTAGTATTAGCATCCAAATATTTAGAAGAGTTTGAATTCTACATTTCCTATGAACACGGTTCAAAATACAGTTGTTTCAGAATACTTCATGAAATGAGATCTGATTCTGAACAAGATTTTCATGAAAACACTGGGCCCTTTGATTCCAAGTGTTCTCTGGTTTTGCTGCCTCTGCTTAGTTTAATTCTAACCCAAGTTCAGGAACAGCAAATTGCTATCCTGTCTGCTTTTATATGCCATCCAATTCCTTTCCCCTACATCAGCCATCACCTCAACCACATGTGGTTGTAGTGTTTCTATGTATGCCTTTGCTACAATCTCTCAAACAGTAGCTAATGATCTATTTCAAACGTTAATCACATGTTCTTCTAATACATAAAGCTTCCAATGGTTTCACATTTCACTCTGAATAAAATACAAACCCCTGACTCTGGCTGTATGTAATCCAGTCCTTGCCAGCCTCTTCCCTCAACCAACCTTTCTCTTCCTCAAATGTGCACATATCTATTCCTGAGTCTTTTGCCCTTGCTGTCCTTTCTTGCTTCGGAGGCTCTCCCAAATCTTATTTGATAGGCTTCATCATTCAGGTGCCATTCTCTCCACAGGGGGTGCATTCACACCCTAAAATAAGCTCCCCGGACATGTTCTATTCATCATGTTCTATTCCTTAGCACTATTTTTTTTCATAATAACCACTATCTGAAATTACCTGATTTTATCACTTTTACTCATAAGAATATAAGCTTCAAGAAAGCAGAAGAGTGTGGTTTATTCATTATTGTATATTCCTCATCTAATCCTACAACAGTGCCTGACCCATAACAGGGCATGCAACAAATACTGAGAAATGAATGAATTTCAATTGATGCTAATTCTCTGACATTTTAAGCTTTCATCTTTCAAGCATGAGCATGTGTTCTTTATCCAGTTGCCCCTCTGTGAATGTATGTATTCTTTTCACAAGGTTCTAGGTTCCTGGAGCTCACAGTTGAAAGGGGACAGAGACCTATAAACAATGGCCTGGGGTAGCAAACTGGTAGGTCATGGCCAAATCCTAGCTTGCACATGTATCTGGTTTGTGCAATGTTAGTTTTAAATGAACTAACTGGTACAGTTTTTATTGGAAATATTCACATAAAATCCTAAACTTCCAGCTTCTTTTAAAAAAGTTAAAATACATGAGATCTACAATCCCTGGCAGCAACTGACTGGCACCAAGTAGCCCTCTGGTTGGGGTGTGCACATTCTAGTGCATTCCAGTTCCTTCCATTCCCTATGCACAACAATGAAGGCAGGTCTTGTTTTGCATTTATCAGTGTGCTGACCATGGTATTTTTCTTGAATCCTGCTCTTTTTGCTCCCTGATATACCTGCCTGGTCTTTGCAGTAGACCCCTAACATCTCAGAGAATAATCCAAGACCTATATAAATCCCACATCTGTGAATGTGGCATAGTATGTATAGGATACTATGTCAATTGAAAATCAGATTATTTACCGTGCCCGGCATCTCTTTACTGGTCAACCAATGATAACCATGGTTAACCTTTCCAAACTGGAATTCCTCATTTGAGGAGCATAGCTGAAGCACT